AGGAAAAAGGAAATGTCCTAATGCGGGCTCTTAAAAATAAATAAACCTTGAATCACTTGAATCAGTACCAAAGCGCCTAGATCCTGCAGTTCTAGATCGATTACCAACGGAAGTGTAATGGGCAAGTACCAAGTATTGACTCTTGCTCACCAGACATCAATAAAAAATATCGACATGGACCCACCGATCAAGTACAGCTTTACTGTCCACTCCACAATCAAATGAAGCAGAAGGGCCAATTTAATCTTTTACTTCATTCTTCTTATGTTCAGTCTAGAAAGAGAGTTTAGACGCCTCCTTTGATAGGCCTGTCGGATTCGAGCCCGCTGTACATTGCTTGGATCACCGAGGCGCTCCTCTAATCCATTTGATGTGTCTCCACATAACCTTGGCAGGGTTCCGTACTATGAGTGGTGCGGCTACAGTACTCCCATTCATTGTCTGTCTTGCATATCATAGTTTATCAAAAATACCAAATTACGATTCTCTCTTCTTTGCTCGTCATTCTCCCCACTATTCTCACTATTCTCTCTCAACTCCGTTCCCCAAAAGTCTTCTCTCTTTCTCTCTTTCTTTCTCTCGCACACACCCTGCCTCTCTTCCTCTCCCCTCTCTCAGACTCTCACTCCCTCTTCCCCACTCACTCTCCCTCACACACCACACACGCCTCTTCACGTCCTAGTCATCTTTCACTCTAATCGTCGCACGTCTCTTTAATCCCTATCTCCATTAACCTTACCCCCACCCAGTAGAATACCCTTCCCATCAATATTACGCTACCTCAATACCCTGAAATATAAAGTGAGCCGAGGCAATGACGCATCAGTCAGATTACTCCTTTCTTCAAAGAGCCGTCGCCAATGGATGGTTCTATCTCTGGTTTGTCGTCTATGTCTTTCAATATGACAGATTCACGGCATTGAACTTCAAACGTGTCATGCGATTTGAGCTTCGCAGCATCGTAACATTGCTGCTACTTATAGCTATACCCCTACATTTATCGTAAGTCACTCATGGGAAAATCAAATTTGATATACTCTGAGCGAGTAGATACTTGTGGAGAGATATTTGTCATCTCCACATTATCTGTGGAAATCACAGCCGGTTTTGCTCATATAGAGTACTTCTATTTTCAGATATGATATAGGATTAACAACGATCAAATACTATGAGGGCTTTTGGGTCAACCCTCAGAATAACGAGATCGTTAGCAAACCTTCATTCCTCTGGTCTCAACCCCACCAAGACCTAGCATCAGTTTTGGATTATACCCTTGCCTGCGCCATGGCACTTCTTGCAAGCATCTTCTTCTTGTTGCAATCGTTCTACCATTACATCTCCAAATCTGTCACAAAGTCGTCATTCATGTCCAGTCTCGAGTTCCGAATCAATATTGTCTGCTCTGTAATGGTTATTGCAGCCTTTCCTTTGATTCAGTACCTCGCCAGGAACAGTCATAACAAGCGGGAAGCAGCTCCACAGATGGCATTCAGTGTTGTGTTGTGCTCTATTGGAATACTGGGCATCAGGACACACTTCCGATTCAAGTCCTTGTTGAAGGTTGCGCTCATGACAGTGAGCGAAAGCTCTCAGGGCGTAGCTGAAAAGTTGGAGTACTTCAAGGACATGGTATGTGCCACAAAACCCTTGATAAGGTTCCACCAAACAATGATTTGCCTCATTTCTAATCAAGTGAGTTTCCTGTTTTCATTATTATCACATGCGTAAATAGAACATGATTCTTATTGTATCCATGTTTGGCACTGGAATATCACTCGGGATTGCTTCTGTGGATGGTCTGACATCCAATCCTGTGATTGCTCGCAACAAGTTTGCGTCGGACTTTTTGGTCATGAACCTCAACTTTTTCGAGTTTATTATCTGGGTAACCGTGGTTCTTATCTTTTACCCTCGTCGGTCGATTGTTGGAAACACATTTGGTGTATCGAGCGGAGGTGGAAGTATTTCTCGCACAGTCCCAGCAAGTGCTCGCCAAAACAACAACAACAGCATCAACAATACCTTTAATAATAATAGCGCTAATATCAACCAGAATCAAGGCGATTTCGCCAAATCAATTAATGGCAACTCGTATAACAATAACTCGTACAACAACTCTAGCAGCAACGGAGGCTATGCACCACCCAGCCGATCATTTAGCACTTCCAAGGAGCGTCCCCCAAGTGTTGTTCCTTACAAAGCACCAAACGATACAAGAAATTTCAGCGATACCATGCCCTTGACAACGATGCGAGAGCATGATGCTACGGACATTGTTCAAATGGATGCATTCAAATCCATGTATGATACGAATGATTCTTCACACGCACCTATGTCCCCTACTTCTCCCACTTCCCCGACAAAATCTCGGTACGATGGCTCCAGCTCTATAACATTTCCTCCTGATCAGTCAAGAGCTGGGCTTCCATCCCTTGGCTCCGCCACTCTTCGAAGCCCAAAACAAGCTACAACACGTGTAGGTCAGCAGCTGTTTGTGTTGGAGGTTGCTACAGGGCATTCAAACCAGAACCAGGAATGGCATATGCAGCAGGGACAAGACGACTATAGTCGAGCTCGTTCACCCACTACACCAACACGTCCTCCGAAAGGATATCGCGGTCCTCCCTCATATTAAATAAACAGACACGCATAAAAATGTATCATAACGAGACGGCTTGCCTCGCCTTCGAGCCTGATTTTTCGCTTGTTCCTGAGAACACATGAATATTGCTCATTCAATTGCTGATTTATTGTTCTTAGGTTATGGATGAACTGGCGATGTAGAAGAAGTAACCGAAGATGGCCCTTCATTTTTGAGACAGACCCTTGCTGGGCTCATAGTGTTCGGTGCTTGGGATCTGTCACAAATTGCTCAGGCTTTAGATGCTTGACAGGTCCATAAATGCTTGACTATCCACTGATGAAATTTTTAACGCTTTTTGGAAGACTATCCTCCTGGCAGGGTGGTTCGCCCCATTAGAGGTCGTCCTCCTCCTGCTTCACTTGGCTGTCAATGTTGTCTACTCGCCGTGCTGTGCTCCTTGGTTGTTGTAACTGGATCCCCAGGTGTTTCAATTGGTTGCTGCCAATTATCCTGCATATCTTTCCAAACACCTTCCGCTGTTGAAGACGGAGTGATTGTACTTCATCTTTGAGTTGCTCAACTTCCTGTCGGTGAAGACGTTGTTGCTGCTGGAGTTGTTGTTGGTGTTGAAGACGCATCGATTCCAATCTTTCTTCTTGTTCTTGTTGTCGCCGTAGCATCTCTTGAATTACTTGAGGTGTGAAGAACCATCCATTGACATTGTCGACATTAGGGATCTCGTCAGAATCGATTTCATTGAGAGTGTCTTCAGAATTGATTTCATTGGGGGTCTCCATAGAATCTTCATTATATTCATCAGAATCGTCCTCAATGGAGTTTGTGCCATACAATGGCCTGGCATTAATTGTGTGCTCGCTTCTCCAATCGCTGTTGCTGCTGCTACTGCTGCTGCCGTTGTTGTCGTCATTTTCATGGAGCGGTCTTCCTGATTTCAGTACTCTTTTCGCCAACTTCCTAAATACAGGGCATGGGCGGCGCCTTTTCTTCGAGGTCGCTGATGTTCCCTTTAAATGCGTGCGGAGGCTGGCAGTTGAGGCTAGACCGGCTCCGCAAGGACAGCTGAATGCCATATTTTTTGACGGATCCCTGTTGAAATGGAACTGTACGTTGTTGTATTCGGTCTGGAAGCTGATTCTATGACACGCCTTCCAGTGATCTTTCTCTGTTTGATTGAGAAACGTCTTCTTAAAATCATATTTGATGCAGTTGTCGTAGGTGCAGATGTCTTTTGGTACCATGATTAAAGAGAATGTGGAAAGAGGGAGGTAAGCAAAGGTGAATAGGGACTGAAAGATTTATAGCGTGTCAATTGACCAGCCATGTCAGCCACAGTTTTGCTTTGAAAAATGCTGTAGAAACTGCAATGATCAAATCAAAGCAAGCCAAGTTGAGTACTTAGGGTTTATTGTATGATTTTCTCGGTTTAATAAGGTGTTGGTCCGTGCTGTAGAGTAATATTATTACTCTTTGGTTTCTGTCGATGCTGAGGACGATGGCAATTTGGCTGCAGGACTATTCTGCTGGCGGATGGGCTCACTTACTCTGTTGGCGGCAATCCTCCTGCTTCTATTGACTGAACGTTGTCTGCCACTTTGCGCTCCTTGGTTGCTGCAATTGGATTCCTGCCTGTTTTCATTTGAGCTCTACCGACAAACATGCACATCTTTTGACACATCTGCTGTTGTTGAAGTTGGAGCGATTATTTGTGTTGACGCTGTTGTTGTTGGAGTTGATGACGCATTGATTCCAAAGTCTCCTTTTGTTGCTGTTGACGTTGTAGCATCTCCTGAATTTTCTGGGGTGTAAAATGCTTTCCATCGACAATGGGTGCTCGGTACTGATGTGATGTAAGGGTCTCCTTAATTTCAGTACAGCTTCTGCTCTCTCTATAGTTGTAGCACAAGGTAAGCGCTTCCTTTGATGTGTGTGGTGAGGCTATCACGGCATGAAAGTTTGCAATTGTAGGCACAGATGATGCCATATCATTTGAAAGGCCCCTATTGAACTCGAAGACCACAATCCTTGTTCAGTCTGTTTGCTTATGAAGATGAAGACGGCGATTCCTGCCTGCTTTGTCAAGTCTGTCTGTCATTATTGAGTTATTGAGGGTGTTTACGCTGCAATGAAGCTTTATCATTATTTTGTCATGTAGGGTGAGATAAAGCCAACCAACTTGCCAACAGGAATTCCCACCTCCAAAAATACCAACGCAAAATCGAAGGAAGCAACCCAAGCATGACGGGTGGGTTCATAGGAGATGCATGTGGAGTAGGGGTGTGAGGGATCCGGGCGTGAGAATGACCCGTTCACGTGAGTTCACCATCCCCAAAATGAAAAGGGCAAAAGGCTCGGGCATCATGGAACCATGGTGCGATGCGATAAGATTGGCTTGGTAAGCCCAACGCGGGGATCGAACCCGCAACCTTCAGATTAGAAGTCTGATGCTCTACCGATTGAGCTAGCCGGGCTTTTCTGCGAAGATTTCCGACTTCTTCATGTTCCCGACGGCCGGAATCCCAGAACTCGGCAGTCACAATTTGTTTATTCACGTGACTGAATCGCCTATTTTGGGTAATTTTGTGGATCCATTGTCGTTGGACCTGGGATCCCTTGCATTGTGCTTCATCAATCTTCATTTTCTTCGTCCAACCCCTCTCCACTCTCTCTCACACTCTCTATTGCTCGCCCTACGGTCGCACCGCCCTTTCATATCCAAAATGCCAGGGCACTCTTCGGCACAAGCGATCTGTACCCGAATTTTGATTCAAACTCGAACGAGGACAGGTCTAGCCAAACGACATCAGTCAACTTTTAGTTTCTTCTCTCGCAATCAAGATTCCGTTACACCTGCTCTGCCAACAAGTTCAGGCTTCTCTGGCGGCATTTTTGAATCTAAATCGGATAAATCAGCAGTATTATCATCGTCGACAGCCCTGAACTCACTCCCTGGCACCCTTAAAACTTCTCCCTCTTTTGTCAATGCCGCCCCTCTCCTGACCGCTATTCAGAACAAAGATCAGGACACAGCGTGGATGGTTTACTCTGTATTGAGTCGCGCCGGCCAGCTGTCGTCCTTACTCCCTATACACCATTCCATTCTCTTGAGGAGCATCCGTCCTGCTGTCTCTCATCGCTACACAAAATCACAAATTGCCACACTCAGAGAGAGGCACGAGCAAGTCTGGGCAGGGATGATGCAGTGCCATATTCAACCGGACATGAACGATTACACCGCCAGACTCGAGCTATTTGTCGCTACGAGACAGCATCAATTGGTGGATCTGACGTGGACTGAGATGCGAGAAAAGGCTGCATCTTCTCTGGCAGACGGAGTCTCAACAAGAGCAGGACCATTGATCCAACCAACGCTTTACACATACAATCTAATCCTGCAATCGTGCGTGCCTCGGAAAAACATTGGGTTGGCGATGGAAACGATCACACTGATGAGACGTGTAGGAATCAAGCCCGACAATATGAGCTGGGACTATGTCTTGCAAATCCATACTGCCCTGAAGAACTGGAAGGCTGTCGAGTCGACATTCCAATCTGTATTCCATACAGCCTCAGTGAGCGCTTCAGGGAATCAACAACTGCAGCACAGCCAAAGCAGCTCTGCATCAATGACCATGACTGTCCCTCTTGGCCAGCGCGTAAGGACATTACACGGAGGCGCTATCCCACCAAACAATAACGGCGGTAACATCAGTGCGAACAACAAGGAGAAGCTCATCCCGACTCTTCAAAACACCCACACACTCTTTTCTTATTACGCCTATACCCAAGACCTCGAGGACCTGCGAAACATGTTTGACGCCCACGTACGACTCTTTGGTCTTGTACCTACTACCAGAACCTATAATGAAATGATCAAGTTTGCATTCTTGGCGCGACAGGACGCTGAGGGCCTGGATCTGTTCCGTGAGTTGATTCAAATTGGACAAAACCTGGACAAAGTTCAGGCGCAGCAACACAAAGGCGACAGCAATGCGGATCAGGGTTCAATGGATTCATCACCGGCATTTGATACGCAGACTGAATTGCATCAACATTCAGAAACCTCGCAAGCTCTGCCAAAGATGCAAGTCTGTGGCCCAGATTTTGACACATTCAAGATCCTGATCAACAATGAATTCATCGCTTCAAGGAACAGATGGGGCCGCGCATGGAAGTGGATTACAATTATGCAACAAGAGTTTGGACTGGAACCCAGTGATGGTATGTTCAGAAGGACACTTGCTTCTATGACGCGCCGTGGTGGAAGTGAAAGTGATATCCAAGCATTGAAGAGTAATTGGGATCAAGTGCGCGCCCGCCGAGATGGTAGAAGGGTTGCTTCTCATTCGCCAACATTGACACCTTCGCCCGCGGAAGGCGATATACATGTAGAAGAGCTGTCACAGGCAGCAAGCAGCTCATAGAAATAAAACCATATAGAGCTCTGTATAATTTCCGTCAGTCGTTGTATGGATTGAATTATATTGCTGCTTTAACAACTGTGAATGCATCGAAGAAGAAACGTTTCTTTATTAACAATTTGCCTCTTGAGTCGAAAACTCTGCGAATATATAATGAACTACTACATTAAGAACTACCGTGATCCTATCCATCCACAAACGCTTTAAGACAGGTGGCATTCCCTGGGCCTGTCACTCGGGCCTGCGCGACAATTGCCATACCTCATCAGTGTGTTAGCAGCCGAAGATTCTTTGTTCACTCAACCTCTTCATGCCATTTACATCAGCGTCGCGTCAGCGATATGGGGGCCTAACTGCGCTCGGAGCATTAACAATTTGCCTCCCGAGTCGAAAAACTCTGCGAATATCTGAGGAAACACTGTATAAAGGACTATTGTAATCCTATCCATCCA